CCGCGAGGTTGGGCGATGCTAGGACCGCAGCTTTCGAAGGCGTGGCAGCGACGGCTGGGTTGCCGGTGGCAGACTCGGGGAATGCGGTGCCAGCCCAAACCAATATATTTGATGGCGAGGGAAGTGGGGACGAAGGCGGCAGCGGTGATGACGACGATGACGACGACGATGATGATGATTTCTTTGGGGTAGCTGCTAGTACTGGTGCTGGTGCTGGTGCTGGTACTGGCGTCCCTGCTACAGGAGCTAATATCGGCAGCGGAGCTGCAGCTTCCCGCAACAACAACCAGGGTGGCGGTAGGGACGACAACGCGGATGACTCGGACGACTCGGACGACGATGACTGATGATGAGAATTGAATCATCAGTAGCGTCCAACAGGGCCTATTGTAAGGTGAATTATCTCTGTGCGTCTGTCACTATTTGATGGCCCTAGATCTACTGTACATATCTGTCCTTCCATCGATCACTACTTGTGTCACTAGTGCACTATCGTTTGTAATATAAGGAATAGACTGGGTCTCCGTGGCCAAACTTCCACAAAAGCAAGACAGCTCTCGACAATCCCCGGCTCAGCATCAGGTTGGGTGCTGTGGCTATGCTTGTCTGCGATGAGAAGAGGTTCCCGGGAAAATATCTGGAGAGGCTCCGAGAGGACAAAGGGCACTAGGATCACAAGACGAAGTCTTTCAAAGCTTGAGCCTTATTGGGCTGGGAATGGGATAATTTCTACCCTGATGAGTGTGAAGGTCGCGAACCACATGTCCACTTCTTCCATCAGTTTATGTTGTAGGTATTACACATGCGCGGCAGGTTCGACCAACTGCCTCGCTTTCCATCGCCGAATACTATACTCCGTGTATTCTGATAATGGTCCTTGGGACCTAGTAGGATTCGCCATGTTCCTCCATCAAGTCACTGAAAGTATCGTGGCCTTGCATGTGCCTTGCTGCCCGGACTCTCTACGTGACTCGCTTGACTCCGTCAACGGCTCCACTTGCCGTAACTGCTCACAGTGCGAAAAACGGCAGGTACTACTTCCTAATGCGGAAGGCCATTTCCCGACTTCTCCGCATTCTCAACCTTCAGAGTCTCGGGCCCTTTTTTCCTTCTCCAACATCTCGGCGAATGGCAGAAAATGGTTGACGTTCTTGCGTATGTCAAATTTGATTGATTCTCTAAAAAGGTCCTTTTTTGCCTGTGCCGAAATCTCTACCACCACAGATAACAAAGACAATGCCTCCCACGGGTGTCGCCATCCTCCTCGGCGCCGGGCCCACAACCGGTTCGGGTATCGCCCGTGTCCTCGCCCGGCCATCCCAAGGAAACCTTGCTGTCGCCCTGCTCTCGCGCAGTGGCGATGTCCAGCTCGCCGAGCGCCTGTCGCGCGAGTCCGACGGCGGGGTGCTCAAGGCGTTCAGAACCGACACTACCGAGCAGAGCCTGAGTAATGTGTTTGAGGAGATCAAGAAGTGGTCTGAATCGCTGGGCCAGGACGGAAAGTTGAAATTGGCCATCTGGAGCATCAAACACTCTCACAAGACGCCCTTCGAGGAGGAATCCGCCCAGCGCTTTGGCGATAGCTTGCAGACCTACGTCACCGGGGCCATGGTTTTCAGTCAGCTGTGTCTCAAATGGATGCTCGCCCAGTACCCGGCGGATGTCGAGAAGAGTTCAGCAAGTGGAAGCGAGGAAATGATCAAAAAGGGAACCTTGATCTTCACTGGAACCTTGGGCGCTTTGAGAACCAATCCCGGCTACGCCGCGTACGGGGCCGGACGAGCGGGCGTGAGGATGCTGGCCCAGAGTCTGGCCAGGGAGTACTCCGCCAAGGGTGTTCATGTGGTTCACGCGATTGCCAATGGCGGTATCGTAGATGTCGATGCATCTGTCGGCGCGGAGGGAGATGACGCGAAAGCCAAAGAGGCCAAAGTCGCTCTAGGAGAAAAAATCCGCGCGGAAAGCGTGGGCAGATTGTACCTGGAGTGTATGCGCCAGAGCTGCGACTTGTGGGTCCACGAGTTAGACATGAGGCCTGCGAGGGAGAAGTTTTGATTGCATTGAATGGCTTCATCTAGCCACCACTTGGTGTATCAGGGTTGAGACAACGGCCGAGCACGCTCGGAATGACTGAGTGCCTGTACGAGGACATACTAAGAGAGGATGCCATCAACTACCTACATAAGTACCTACATCATATATTCGCTCGTTACGTCAGAGATTTTAAAGCTGTCATGATACCAATAGTCTTGTATTTTCCCAACTCTCCCCATTTTCTACTCACTACCTTTCTACGTACCAAGCCAGGTCGTTTCCACTTTGCAACTCATACTCCAAGAACCCGTTGCCCAAGAATCGAAAGCGGTTTTTGTCTCTAGTTACAATCTCAAAGTCTTCGGGACGCAGGTCTTGGATGAGCCGCTTGAAGACCAAGGCGCTGCCGGCAAAGGTGGCGGTCACGCGGCCGTCGACCGTGTTGTTCTTGTACCAGCTCCGACAGGCCCCGGTCCAGGTCAACGTCTTGTGGATCTGGTCCGAATAGAGGATAAACTCGTCCACAGCGCTCTGCTTGGGCACGACGGCTTTGATGTCCTCCGAGGCGATCTTCCGTATCCACTTGATCATGTACTCGGCACTCCAGCCGAGACTCTCCATCAGGGAGCCGTGGCCGATCAGCGCGTTCGGCCCCGTGAACATGAAGTAGTTGGGCATGTCGGCCGATGCGAGTGAGAGGTAGGACGAAGGCTCCTCGGCCCATTTGTCTGCGAGGTTCACCGAGTCGCGACCGACGATGGGGTACTGAGGACGGTAGGAGACGTCGAATCCTGTGGCACAAACAACTGGATCGGGCACTGGGTTAGCCTTTGCCGGACCTCTCAAGCAAGGGTGTCTCGGAATGTGTAAACCCTTACCGACATCCACCTTGTACGTCTTCCCGTCGGCGGTGACGACGCTGTCGGCATCGATGTGCGTGATGGGGCTTTGAGTGAGCTCGACGTTGTCGCGCAAGAAGGATTCGAGATAGCCTTCGCCGGGTGTGATCCTCCGACAGCCCAGCTCCCACTTCGGAATCAGTAGCTCGCATAGTCTCGGGTCGTTTTGTAATTTGCTCGTCATCTGTGTACGAGCCAGCTCATAGATCTGTCGATTGAGGTCCGAACCTTTCAAAAACTGCGGGTGCCCTTTGTCAGCTTGGTAATTTTCCCAAGCACATTTTGCTCGGGGGCTGAATTTGCCGTACCATTTTGAAACTGTCGTTGATGCTGTGGATAATCTTCTTGCGATATTCATGGTGTTTCTTGGGGTTGTTCAAAAACTCTTGCTTCTCTTCGTCGGTGTACGCCGGGTTATACGCCGGGTCGTCCTTACCCAGCAGGGACGCCGGGTTCATGGTGCTGACTACCCACGTAGGCCCGCGCTGGAAACTCGTCACCTTTGTTCCGGGTAGCTTGGCCAATTGGGGTAAGATCTGGATTCCGGATGAACCATTGCCGATCACGGCAATTCTTTTGTTGCTGTAGTCGTAGTCGTGGTCCCAGCTGGCCGAATGGACCTTCTTGCCTGTAAATTGCGACAGTCCAGGAATCGACGGCCACTTCCAGTTGCTGTGGCGCACAAGTCAGCTACTTCAGAACTTGGATCACGTCTCTGGAAAACTTTCTGACTTCAGGAAACCTTGCGCTGATATTAAAATGTCCGCATAGTCCTGTATAACAGCGCCGTTATGCTCGACCGTCACCTGCCACTGACCGCGATCTTCTTGCCAATACGCACCGGTGACGCGATGATTGTACTTGACGTCCCTTTCGAGATTCCATTTCTGAGCCGTCTTCTTCATGTATTCCCAGATTTCAGGGCCCGTTGAGAAGAACCGAGTCCAGCTGGGGTTGGGGTCAAACGGAAAAGCCTCCGCCGGTCAGCAATCAAGCAACCCGCTCTTGGGAACGCTGCGGAACGTACATAGATGTGCGACGGAACATCGCAGACAACGCCCGGGTAGGTGTTTACCAGCCAAGTGCCGCCCAGCTCGGACCTCGCTTCGTAGATCGTGTGGTCGATCATGTCGGCGAGGTCGGGTTGTTGGTGCTGGAACTTGTGGGCCAACGTGAGGCCCGAATAGCCAGCACCAATCGTGACGACACGGAGCTTTCTGGGCGTGTATGCTGGCAGAGGGTTCAGCACTGTGCTCGCATCTTTCAGACTTTGGGAGTCGCCGGCATGGGCAGTCGGTTCAGGGACCCCGTCAGACGTGACGCCAGCGCTGTTGCTGGTTCCATTGGGCGCGCTCTTGGTCGCGCTGGTTGTAACGCCGTTGGTCTCGCTATGGTATGCCATTGTCATGTGGTAACTGAACCAGATGCTGTTGGGAGTGCATCACAGGCGGAAGTGGCACCAGGTCCTGGGAATAAATCAAATCCCCTCAGGCTGTGGTGAAGGCCGAGGTTAGTGCGATCATGCCACTGCCATGTACAGCCTTGCCGGCAGAATGACTTTTTTCGCCAGCTCCACTGCGGAAGCCAGCCTGTGATTCTGCTAGAGTGGCAAGGGAGGGCAGGAGTGGAGCCCACGATGGTGTTTTTACCCGCTTTAGGGATCCGTACTATCAAGGCACCAAATCCCCTTTCGCCGAAATGAATTGACCGGTGATCTAGACGTGTCAGACCACTCGGCCGTGCACGAAGCACACAATTTGGCACATCATTGATGGCCTTGGGATGGGACAAGGCAAAATGCCCCTGTCGCCGAAAACCTCTCGGCAAAGGTTCAGACTCGAGGCGCCGCTATGATCCCTGTCGTCGCTGGGGAAGTTTTTATCAACCCAATGCCTGTCTCGATAGCATATATCGGGTCTTGTGAGCAACAGGTTAGATTCGCGTGCTCAAGAACTCCTTCCAGCTCGTTCGTCACATACCCTCATCTCAGTGCTGCGTCTTTCTTCAACGGCATCACTCGCCACTCCGGAGGTTGCTCTCCGCTACCAGACGATATTCCCGCAGGACATGGGTTCCATAGGAGAGAGCCGCGAGTATGATGCCCTACTTATCGGTGCCGGCTTCGGAGGCTACACAATGCTTCCGAAGCTGCGCAAGTTGGGGCTGCGAGCCAAGATATTTGAACGCGGATCAGGCTCTGGAGGCGTCTGGTTCGTATTTCGACTGTGAAAAATGCTGGACAGTCTGACTGAAGATCGCTGCAGGCATTGGAATCGGTGTAGGTGATGCATTCCTCATGGCTGGGCAAGAAGCTCACACCATTCAAGACCCCGGTGCTCGCGTCGACAGCGACTCGCCGGCATATCAGTTCTTCGATCGGGAGATTTGGGAGGATTTTACCTTCTCTGAACGATTCCCTGGGTTCCGCGAATTGCAAAAGTACTTTCAGCACGTGGAGAGAAAATGGGACCTTCGAAAAGATATCGAATACCACAAGAACGTCACCTACGCACACTGGGATCCCGAGAGTCGACGCTGGGTGGTAGGCTGTTCTGACGGAACAACGACGCGATGCAAATGGCTGTTTGCGAATGTGGGCTTTGCGGCCAAGGAGTAAGTGCGTCGAGACACCATACAATCTTTCGGTGGAATGACTGAACGGGGCACAGGTACAAACCGTATCTCAAAGGCTCGGCCGACTTTCAAGGTGAGATGTTCCACACGGCTCATTGGCCCGACCACGATGTCGCCCTCAAAGACAAACGCATCGCCGTCATCGGGACTGGCGCCAGTGGGATCCAGGTGATTCAAGAAGCCGGTAAAGTCTGCAAGCATCTCACGGTGTATCAACGCACCCCTAATTTCTGGTGAGTTGCCTCGTATCCGAAGTTGAACGCCTTCTGAGATATCATTAGTCTACCGATGCAGCAGCGTCGTCTGGATCCTGTGGAAGAGCAGAGAAAGAAAGACAGTGGCCTGTACGAGGCGGCGTTCAAAGCGTGCGAAAAGACCTCTGCTGGTGTGCCGTACGAATCGAATGGCCGCAAGACCTTTGATGATACCAATGAAGAGCGAGAAGCGTATTGGAGTCGCCTCATACAAGACGGTGGCTTCAAGTTTTGGGTCGCCGGTTACGACGACCTGACCTTGGACCAGAGGGCCAATGACGCTGCCTACGACTTCTGGCGCCGCATGGTTCTCAAACGGATCAAGGATCCCCAGAAAGCCCGGCTGTTGGCGCCAGAGGTTCCACCGCATCCTTTTGGCGCAAAGCGTCCGTCGCTGGAACAAGACTACTTTGAGGTTCTCAGCCAGCCAAATGTCGACATCGTCGACGTGAACGAGTTCCCTATCCAGGAAATCAACGCAACGGGGATTCGTACTGCCGGGGGGCAAGTCGATGTGGACATGATTGTTCTCGCAACCGGCTTCGACGGCTTGACGGGTGGCTTCATGGACATCGACATCCAAGGGATTGATAGAAAGACCCTGAAACAATACTGGAGTGACGGAGTCAAAACTTCCATGGGGGTCGCAATCCCGGGGTTTCCCAACCTGTTCTTCCTGTTTGGGCCACAAGCGCCATCGACCTTCTCGTAAGCGAATCTCGTTTGTACTGGCTGCTCTTGAGCTAACAGCATGTCTTTCCCAGGAACGGTCCGACCTGTATTCAATTTCAAGGCCAATGGTTCGCAAAACTGGTCCAGAAAATGCTCGACGAAGGTATAGAAACATTGGAACCCACCCAGGAAGCAGCAGACACCTGGACCGAGAAGGTTCGTGAGCGATGGGAAGCAACTCTGCTCCCTCAGGGCAAGATAAGTATCTCTGCCGCTCCAGAGGTGGCCTTCACTGACATTTCACACAGCTGGTGGACTGGTGCAAACATCCCAGGCAAAAAGGTGCAGCCGCTCAGCTGGGCAGGGGGGCTCCCGTCATATATGCAGATGCTGTATGAGACGCTGGAGAAGGATTATCAGGGCTGGATTGTCGGAAAATAGCCATGCGAGTTTTTCTGTGTCGTAAGGTGTCCAAGTGAAAGTTGACCTGGGGTAGAGGAGGAGCATTTGATTCACGGAGAACTACAAGGAAGGGGTTTGGAGATGGCAAGGTTTTGCGACATGTGCAACGCCTATACAATAGCTCAGCCTTGCGAGCCTTTGCCGACCAGTCATTTCCAGTGTGTGGGATTATTTCTCTGGCCAGGCGATCAATGGCCATATCTCCGCAATCTTTCCCCCCTGAAACCGAAAGAAGACGTGCTCGTAAAACACCACGCGGTCTTGCTCCAACTTCTTGTTCTGAGAATCATGGCTCAATCTGAATCTCGCTGAGACCATGCCATCCAGGTCAGTCGAGCAGTCGTCATCCACAACTAACATCTCGAGATCAAGGCGAAAATTCTCCAATTTCCCGACAATTCCATCGATCATTCTGCCATAATCTTGGCTGGTCATCGGCGGCTGTGCGTTGTAGATGACGCCGTCGTGGACAAACTCTGGTAGTTGGGAGAATCTGCGCTCGCTCATGCAGGCCGCGTATCTGGAGCAAATTGTACGAAGATTCATGGATTTTGGCGGATGAGAAAATTGGTGAGGTAGCATTTTAGGCGTCATGGAGAGGACAGGCGGCCTGGATAGTTGGTAAAGGAATATATCCTGCTGAAGAGTGGAACGAGATCAGATTTTGTAACAGCCATGGCTTTGTTCTTTGCCCTTGGTCGAGTAATTTCGGCGAAGATATGACTGGTAGGCTCATGGTGGTGAATGACCAGTCCGTCAATGTGACATTCAATGTACTAAGGGTTACACCGTGAAGCCGCATTGCACCTCCTCGAGATATCATGCCGTCGTCTCAACCACGGCCTGCTTTTTCATTGCTGGCATTCAAAAAGTGTTGCGTTTCTTGTCTATGGAAGGTCAAAGTCCACCACTATGCGCCTACAGTCATCAGCAACCCGTTGTACAGGCCTGTACCGTATAGAAACTCACCCTGCAACTTGTCCCTTTTTCAACCTTTGCACGGCTTCATTGAACTTACTCACTCCAACCACGACAGGCTCCAGGTGGATCTTTCCTGCAACCAAAATTAAATATCCATTACTCCATCTGTCACCAGCATCAGTGTCTCACCTCGTTTCGCAAAGTCCAGGGTGGCAGCTATATCCTTCCGACTGCTCGACAGGGTACCCTTGATTGACTGGTTCTTCAAGCAAAGCTGGGTAGGATCCGCATCAATGTGATATCGACCCTTGGGCGGGAGTCCGACACTGTTGCCCACTCGCTCAATTCATCCATGCTTCTCATCAACCAGAAGATTCAAGGTGTTGTTTTGACATACCACATAGCCACTCCACCGATCCGTGAACCAAGATAGCCGAGCGATACGGGATAAGCCTGTACAGCTAATAGCTCAAATCAGATCCAGCCACGAATCAGATATCTCAGCTTCGAGGAGGCACACTTACCACTGACAAACACGCCGTGAGCACCTCCATTGGTGACTTCCAAGACCTTTTTGACGGGGTCTGCCTCGGTCATAAAATCGACAAAATACTCAGCACCAAGGCTGAGCGAAAGCGATCGACGACTTTCGCCGGTATCAACCACCACAGGCCGTATACCCATGGCGCAAGCCAGCTGTACACCTTGGATGCCTGTTCCTCCGCCTCCGCCAGGAAATACGGCCCAGTCACCGGCTGCAAGTCCAGATTCTTTCAGCGAAGCATACATGGTACCTGCAGAGCACATGGCAGGCCCTGCCACGTAGTCAGAAACTCCCTGGTCATTGCTTCAGCTGGAGAACATTAGATATCAGTCCTGGTCACAGATACCTCGGGAATGAGCTAGGGCCATGATGTTGTATCAGTGTCTATTCTTTCAGTTTCCTTGAGGAATTTGCTCTGCAACGCACATGGACAAACCCTTCTGGGACGGCACAATACTGCTTGTAAGTTCCTGCGAGAAATCAATCCACAGCCTCTTCACACTGGTGGGCAAGTCATTGGACGTACGTACCGTCCACTGTCCCCCCCGTATAGACTGCTTGCGGGCAGTATGTCTCCCTTCCAGATTTGCAGGAGTCGCACAAGCCGCATGTGCTATGGATCGGACCATATGCCGCTCGTTGGCCGACTTTGCAACTCTTGACACTGTCGCCGATCTTGACAATTACCCCAGCACCTTCGTGGCCGGCACAAGAAAGACCCATCTCCGACATTTTGGGGAATGTCCAATCATTCATCATAAAATGCACATCGGTCAGACACAATCCGGTTACATTGAGCTTGATGAGAACTTCTGAAGGCCCTGTCAACATGATTCCATCAGCAACTGGTCCATCAGCAGTCGAGGCCGGCGTGTATAGTCCAACCGATGCCAGGCACTGGGACTTTCTCAACTGCCACGAAGAAGTCTGGTCCTTCGTTTTTCTGCTCGACGTTTGTAAGTTGAGGTCTCTATGTCTTCGAAGTACAGCCGTCTACGCACGACAACTCCCGCCCAACACTCCTTGGGGATCTCCATGGTCGCTTCTTCCTCCTGTGACAATCCGCCCTCTACTTTGTGGGATTCGCGTTGGGAAATCTGAATAAGCGCTTGTACCCCAGGTTACAAGTGGACGTCTTTGTCTCTTGCGTTACGAAGACACAGTACGAATTGAATGGCCGACGACTAGTTTACATGTCGTGTGTACTATTACTATTCTTGCCTCGCACCAAGACCAGCACCATCGAGTAATCCGGTCTACTCTTCTTTCGCCGAAATGCTGTCTTCTTTTCTTACCCCGGCCAGGCAGTCTTGGAAAAGTCAATCCCCACGCCATGTTACAGGCAACAAGATTACCTTCGTCTGAGTCTTCCTCACGGGCACCAATAGCAACGCCTTGAGCCAATCTACGTTTAGGTCCGTTCCGTTTTCGGCGAAAGTTGTCCACCGGACATGTGGGCACTCCGCGACCAGCCTTCTCCCCCCCCGCGATATCTTCCTCCGTTGGCATCTATACCCCAGAATTCTGTGGCATGGGTTCTGTGGGGGCCTCAGTCTGGCTATATTATACCTCCGTCATGGTCGTTCTCCAAATGTCTTGGGTCTTTCACCATCTACTACAGCATCATACCTATCTTGCCTCACGTACAGTCTTTATTGTTTGAACGTTCAGGAATCGGCCTCATCTCCCCCCACAGCCATGGGCGATGACAAGGTGGAATACGAGAACTGGGAGGTTCAGCCCAACGTGGTCGTCACGGAGCAATACATAGAGGGTACCGTCAAGAGCTTCTTTTTGGTCTTTGGTGATTAGGAGAAATGGCTGACGTTCGCGTGCGTGTGTGATTTCTTGCAGCCGAACCCACCTGGGCAAAATACATTCCCGGAGGCTACTCACGGTCGAGATGCTTGAAACTGTCGGGTATGCCCATGGTGTCATGCATCCTTGGCCTCGCAGGGACGTGTCTGCTGTTCTTTGGCTACGACGCCGCTGTCATGAGCCTGGTCAACATCAACCCGGACTATCTGCAACACATGGACTCTGCTGGAGGCACGGACCGTGATGCCGCGCGCGTTGGAGGCATCGTGAGCTTCTGGTTCCTGGGTTTCCTCATAGGTATATATTTCCACCAACCATGCCCTTTTTTGCCTCGTTTTCCTCAGAAGTGCCGGCTGACATGGGGATGCATTTTTGCATTCAGGTGGAATTCTGGCCGGTAGCTACGCCGACAAGATTGGACGACTCAAATCCATACAGCTGGGGTGCGTCTGGGGGATAGTGGGTGCCTGTCTTTTGGCGTCCGCTCAGAACTTCTCCTGGATGGTCTGCGCGCGTATCATCAGCGGCATAGGTTGCGGTCACCTCAACACCATAGCCCCAATCTGGACCTCGGAACTCGCAGACTACAATCTACGGGGGGCATATGTCTCGGTGCAGTTTACCATGTGTGTGGGAGGGGCGACCATGTAAGCTTGACTACTTACCTACCTGCCTACCTGCCTACCTGCCTAAGCGGGCACATATACAGACATGGCCATCTCTCAAGGCTGTCCACAACTAACATTGGACCAGGACATATTGGATGGAATACGCCGCGCTCAAGACCCGGTCTCTCCAGTTCGCCTGGCGGTTCCCCCAAGGCTTCCAGATGGTGTTTCTGATATTTATCCTCCTTGCGGCCAATTTCCTGCCAGAGACACCCCGCCACCTCGCAAAGACGGGTCGTTTCGACGAGGCTCGCGAGATACTTTTCCGCTGTCGCCTGACGCCTTCCGAGCAGGCGATTGAGCAAGAACTCGCCGAGATTCGAGAAGCCATTCGCATCGAGGCGACGTCCTCGGCTCACGGCTTTCTCTCCATGATATGGAAAAAGGATGCGCTGCATACCCGCCGTCGTGTCGCGCTGGCCATGGGTATCCAGGCGATGGAGAAGCTCTGTGGTCCCGATGCCATTGCGGCGTATGGACCCATCATCTTCGGCCTCAGTGGATGTGAGTTCTCCTCCACGGGTCCTTGTCTCGTTTGTCAACTTTGATGGGGCAGAGAAGAAGAAGAAGAAGAAGAAGAAGTTTGAGCTGATTCACCGTGGTGTCGCTCTAGTTACTGGCAACTTGCCTGCCATGCTGGCCGGCTTCAACTTCATCTCCTACACATTCAGCGTCCCGATCGGCATGTACTTTGTCGAGCGGGCCGGGAGACGAAAGCTGATGCTGATTGGGCTGGTAGTCATGGGCTCTTCACTGCTCATTGCCGGCCCACTCGCGAGAGAGGCCATCAACACCCCCGATACCGAGTTGACCAAGAAAAGAGCCTACGGCGCCGCCGTGGTGGCGTTTGTCTTCCTGTATACCTGCGGATTCGGCAGCACCTGGATCACATGCTGGTTGGTCGCTCTCTGCCCTTTGTGTCCCTGTCCTCCTTGACAGAGTTTAGTGTAACTCGTTCGACTGACTGCTAACACACACACACCTCGTACAGCTGGGTCTATCCCACCGAGATCTTCCCCCTGGCCACACGCGCAAAGGGTGTCTCGCTGTCCATGGTGTCGTTCGCCATCTGGGGCGCCGTCATCAACGAAGTCATCCCGTACGTCATCAGCGCCGTCGGGTGGTGGGTCTTCATCATGTTCGCGATCATGAACTTCCTCCAAATCATCCCCGTGTGGTTCTTCTACGTCGAAACGGCCAATCGCCACCTGGAGGACCTGGACATTCTCCTCGCGAGTGACAGTCCCCTCGCGTACAAGATGGAACGCGAGTTTGCTGAGAAGAAACGCGCCCTTGGCTTCCATGCGGAGAATGCGCAAGGCGTGGTTGGTGGGCATGCGTCGCCGGAGATGATGGGATAGGTGATATATGAGATGTCTCAATGTTTGCGAGTTCCAAGAGCAAAGAAATACTTATCGATGGTAGACGCGGGTTCGCCCGAGGGTCTTGATCAACCCGATATCGATGTAAAGATCTTTAGTGACGTGCCGGGCAAACGCACTGAACACCAGGTAATCGACGGCGGCCTTTATGGATGGATTTTATTCTTCACAGCTTCGGCGGGACCCAAACGAGCTGCTCAGGTCCTCCCCAGACCGTTTGTTACCCAAAACTCACAGACCAATAGCTCCAGCAGTAGTGAACCCCATCGCTGTCTCAGGAGTCACAACCACATGAGAAGATCCCTAGACATATAATTGGCAATTTAACATGCAAGTCTCCAAACATGGCAATTAGTTGTTGGTATTGGACTAGTTCGTCCTGGTCAATCTCAGTCAATGTTTACAGATAGCGGCTTTGGAGACGTAATATCATAATGCATGAATGCTCTTTTCTTTTTTTTGCCTTTTTCAAGTGTATCTAATTCCCGAGTCATCAAGAGTACCCTCGGCTTCATGACAGATACTTTTCCAGCGAATTCACCGTGTCCGTGACCGTGTCGGCCAAATCCCTCCACGTCACGCCCAGCGTCTTTGTGACCTTGGTGCTGTCGACCTTGTACAGCCCTCCCTCGGGATACCCGCCACCGGGACTGTTCTCCGCGGGCAGCCGGTCGCGCAGCCGCTCGTGTCTCCTGCGGATGATCTCCACGATCTCCCTGTTGGAGAAGTAGCCGGCGGCGACGAGGAAGCGCTGGTTCGCGGCGCCGGGCTTCTCCAGGGCCAGGACGTGGCAGAGCGCGAGGTCCCGCACGTCGACCCACGTGAAGGTGGCGTTGTCGGGGATCTTGGCTTTGTACTTCCCCTGGATCAGGTCCCCGATGATCTGGTTGCTGGTGTTGAGGCGGTCCAGGCTGTCGAGGTGGCTTATCACGGGGCCCAACACCATCGGCGGACAGAGGGTGGTCAGTGAGAAAGGAGGCGGTCCTTGCGACTGTCGTTGCTGTAGGAACTCCCACGCTGCCCTCTCTGCAAACGTCTTGCTTGCCCGGTAGCCGTTGGCGATGCTCTCCGACGCCTGTTCCAGAGTGACGGGGTTCCAGTCCTGCTCGGTGTACGTGTGCTCAGGCCAGGATCCCTTGAAAGGGTTCACGATCGAGGCGAACGACGAGGTAATGACGACTTGTTTGACCGTGGGGGCATGTTTGACGATCGACCTCAAGAGACCCGTCGTGCCTTTGATGGCGGGGTCGAGGAGATCTCGTTGCACGTCCGTGACGTTGAAATGGAACGGGCTGGCCGTGTGGATGACGGCTTCGAAGGGCGGAGTGGAAGAAGTGAGGGCGGCGTCAAAAGCGTTTTCTTGGGCAATGTCTTGGACAATGGCAAAATCCAGTCGATCTGTCCCGACGGCTGGGTATGCCGCTCTGATCTGGTCGGCTTTGGCGGGAGAGCGCACCGTCGTCACCACGCTGTAGCCTCGCTGGATCAGATGGTCCAATACATGCGCCGCGATGAAGCCAGAGCCACCCGTTAGAAGCACACGTGTCATGATGGTCTTGAGTTCTGTCAATCCTGTCGTTCTAGTTCTCCCTGTTCGTTGCAAAACTGCGATTTCAAAACAATGCGTGGCTTTACGAATGGGTTCTGATTTCTGTCGCACAAGTTCTCTTATATTCCGAGCTACAACATCGACCAGCTGCGGCCCATACCTTGTGCTTGTCCCCAACGGAGCCTGGCTGTTAGGGCGTGTACACACCATGGTGCCGAAGTTCTTAAAGTACCAGAGTGCTCATGTTCCCCGAGCTTCGGCGAACGTTTCCCGGCGAAATCTATTGACTTTTTATGAGCAATGGCTTTGCCCGTGTGATGGACGTCTGGAGGAAATGTGCGATCGGGTAATACCTAGAGCGAAGAAAGGGGCCGTGAAAGTAATGGGTAAAGCTCTTCGTATTCTTCTAGCTAGGTCTATCGCAGACTAGGAGTCCACAACTTATGCGAGAGAGGCTCCTGGAACTTGGGCCGGTGGAAGAAGGGAAGGTTTACAACGAAGGCGTGAATCAATATTTCCCATTATTATGTTTCGGACATCCTTCGCCGGTTATGCCACTAACTGTCCAAATTGGTGCGTTGTTGTCTCCGTAGGTCACGCAAACGGTTCACGATTCCTGTTTGTTTTTGAGGCATGATTTCGCATTTCAGAACGGTGGAAGCATTTTCATCTCGGTAAACTTTTTGAATACCGCGTGGATAGATTCGATAGAATCCACAGTACCATGCCAACCAAACTTGCGGGCTTTGTCCATGCTAGAAAACCACTATTAGTATTGCCCCCCTTGGGTTTCCATCCGAGGAACACTTCTCACCTCGTTTGCCAGGACCATGTCAGCTCGAGCGCAAACTGTAGAAAAGCAAAAGTCTTGTCGGGATCTTGTAAAGGCTCGGTATTGAGTCCGTATTCTTGCTTCAGCTCTGCCCAGGCTTGTCGAGTTGCTGGCTCCTTTGCCCACTCGATGAAGCTAAAAGTCGAGCGGAGCTTTCCTTTCGGGCCGTATCTGAAACATACAACATCAGCAAGTGATTCAAATCTGACAAAACCACCAGGGGCCAGCTCCAACTTACCCTCTCGGGACAAATGGCAGCTCTACCTCGTGGTAGCTGGCGTTCTCCTGAGGTGGAAGCCACTCTAAACCAAACCAGGATGCCAGAATTGGCCACAACTTTGAGAAAGTGAACTCGGAGCCATCGGTGATGTTGAAAGACTCCCCTGCCGTGCCTTCGTTCAAGACTAACCACTCGTAAAATGTACCGAGAATGACACCAGAGGATATGGGATGATTATTGTCCCAAGATATAAAATCCCCGGGATATCTCAGGGGCTGGCTTAGCTTTCGCTGAACGGCGGCATAGACTGCCAGCGGATAGAAGATGGTCATGTCTGTACCGGCGACGGCGGCCAGAATCCACTGCGGCATTGTAACATTGTAGCTGACCCCCGGGTGAGTTTTGGCATACTTGACCAACAAATCTTCTTGGGTGTAGTAGAAGTTGGGTTCTAACTCAACCCGGGGAGCTCCTTCAGTCAGAGGGACGTTGACGTGGCCTTGGTGAACGCCGTAGTTCTTTCCTCCAGTTTGAAGCAAGATTCGCCGGGGCTGAACATCTGCTTGGTCCAAGGCGGAAAGAAAGTTCCCAAAGAGCCGCCCTGCATGTGTAGAACTGTCAACAACGAGCTCATCTGCGTGTGCGCTGGGTAGAAAATCTCTCACCATTCGTTTCAGCCAAGTGGTTTGCATCCCCAAACACCTCCGAGTCGGAGCCTTGTCTTGCAACCTGGACATAGCCGAAGTAGAAGATGTAATCACTGAGTATGAAGTCGCGACGTCAATTCCATCCCCCGTTGACAACAAAAAGGAGACTGGGAGAGTGTGGGGGTGGCCTTACGCCTGGACTTTGTGTTCCCGCAAGGCACTGGCAATTCGGCCAGGCTCCCAGAGTAAATCCACCGCTACGTGCTCGACGTTCTTCGCCTCTGTGACCGGCGGTCTCCTGGACAGGGCATATATCTTCTCCCACCGGTCCGGACTGGAGCTGAGGACATCAACCACGGGTTGGCCAGATTGACCGCTGGCGCCGACAACGATAACCCGAAGATTTCTCTGAGAAGGATCGATGACAGGCAATCCGCGAAAAATGCCTGCTGAGCGGACCTGGTACGTCTTGCTTGTCGGGTGAGCCATGGTTTTTGATAGTTGTCGAACAGGACATCACCTCGCCATTATGCATACCTTTGAAATATACTGGTACTCGAAAGGACCAGAACCGAGACTGGAAAACGGTCCGCCAGATGATCATTAGTCAATCCTGAGTTTGACGGTGGCGTTACATTTTGCTGAGAATAATCTGTTGCTATTCGGCGAATTTGACAGAGTCTGTTCCTATTCAGGAGATGCTCCCGACTGCTGCTCAAGACTTGATATTCTGAGAATAAAGTGATTGCTAATCTCTACTTACTTTCATGGATGTAATCACAGCTCAAGGCATCGAGACTAGACATCAGACATGGCATTGTTGAGCTCTTAGGTGTAGCACGCAAACCGATGTAAGTAATACTAATGGCATGTTCCTGGTTAGGATTTAATTCGACGCTTTCTTCTCGCAGCCTCGGCATCCCTTGTTCATAGTTCTCCGCCTTGGTTATTGTTTATCATATGTGACCTCATGGTTTGAGATCCTGAGGGTCTTTTGGTCAAACATTGTGACTATCTCTTCAGGCTTCGCCAATGTACTTTGGCCAATTTGGACTTGGATTACGAGCAATCCATCCACCGTCGACGATAAACGCTGTGTTCCAAGTCAGCGATCCACCAGATTGACCAGACACAGTTGGGATGGGAGATCTCACGATGTCCAGTAATGTAAGATGCTTCGTCTGAGGCCAGGAAAAGAACCAGCCGAGCTACCTCGTTCGGATGCCCTCCACGGTTCATGGGGATGCTCTCAAACAACTCTTCTCTCAATTGTTCGTTCTTTAGGGTCCCTTCCGTCATTGGAGTTTCCATAAACCCGGGACAGACTGTGACCGCACGGATCCCGTCCCTCGCATGGTCTATGGCGATGGTCCGCGTCAGGTTGACCAGTCCGCCTTTTGCGGCATTGTAGGAAGACAGGCCATAATCTCCACCAATGCCAGAGACACTGGCCGTGTTCACAATCACTCCCTTTCCTGCCTTTTTCATGTGCGGAATGACGGCTTTGGCAAGGTAAAACGCGCCACAGAGGTTGGTCATGATGACTTTGTTGAAGACGTCGACGTCGTGTTCGACTACAGGGACGATCGGGCTCAGCATTGCTGCGTTGTGGAAGAGGACGTCAATTTTCTCGAATCTCGCAATGCAAGCATCGACTGCGGCAGAGCAGGACTTTGGGTCTGGAATGTGTTCCTCGGTGTCAGTGCCCTCGTACGGTCCGTATAAATGTGGACAAATTGTGTCAGGGACGTCGAGACAAATCTTTACCAGAGACATCGCAGGGGTGGAAGTGAGCCTTTGGACCAAATCGCTGCATTGCATCTCGTTCCTTTATGGTTGATTCCGGTCAGCAGTTTGCCATGGGATAGTAGTATGGCGGCCAACAGAGGTGTCTTGTCGATTGGTTTGTGCCTGGCCAGACTCCCAGAGGAGATGTTTGATGTCTTGACAATACCATGGAGACAATTACCTTCAGATCAGTAACAAAGACAGTAGCGCCTTCATCCAAGAACCGCTGGCAGGTCTGTGCTCCCAGTCCAGAGGTACCCCCAGTGATAAATATCACTGCCTCGTTGAAACGTCCCCCCATGGTTTTGCGCGATATATCCGACGACTCAGCAGTGTCGTATTGTATTTGAGGAGGCAGAGAGTATGTCTATGTTTTGGATGAGGCGTAAATGGCTCGACTTCTTTGTTCCGGGACGTTTCCAAGATGGTCGACACCAGGTCTTCATCCTTTAATGTGACCCCTTGTCCATCAGCCCCGAAGAGGGTCGAGTCTCAGACTCGTCCTGAAGCCGCAAGCCTGGAAACGGGAAGATGGCACTGATGGTCAGACCCTGTCTAGGCTCACACATGGTTTGGAAGCTTCGGCGAAACAACCGTCGTCGAGTAGGCCATTTACATGTCCCGGTTACACCCTCATGTACCCCGCGATCTTTCAACAGTCAATAGCTCTAGCTAACCAGTGGGAGATTGGGATTTCCTCTCCACAAACGCCAATTGCGATTTCGACACGGTTGGCTCAAAGTTCGCCGAAAAAATGGACCAAGACCCAGGATCATATCTACCATCTTACAACTATCACCGGTAGGTAATAAGACGTGGACCTTTATGGTCCAATAGGTCTTCACGAAGTTGCTTGATAGTTGGGATCGGAAGCGCCTGCAACATAAAGGCCCATCACCGTAACAATCTCTGCTTCAACAACTTTGTCTGTTTCAATAATGGCGCCCCTTTTAATGACAGGGTAAGAAAACAATTTTCCACAAGAGAGATGCTGCTCTACTAACCACAACATAAGGGTCGGCCTGGTCACGGGAGCAGCGTCTGGGATCGGGCGAGCATGTGCCAAAATCCTGGTCGAGGAAGGATGCACGAGGCTCGTGCTGTCGGATTTGCCTGGAGGTGGCCTGCAGGAGGTCTCGGACGAGCTCAAGAGCATCGAACCTTCGGTGGAGACAGTTCTATTCGTCGGTGACATGAGCAAAGAGGTCGACGTCAACCAGATGGTCGAGGCGGGCGTGGCGAGGTTTGGCGCGATTCACTATTGCATCAACAGTGCCGGCGTGACGAGTCGGCCCAGACTACGGACGCACGAACTTCAGACGGAGGCATTCGATCGAGTGGTCAACATCAACCTCCGAGGCTTGTGGCTTTGCGAACGGGCGCAGATCCGCCAGTTCCTGAAGCAAGAGCCAACGCTTCAACCTCGCCATCATGCCGCCGGAATAGCGACGCAGCGAGGGGCCATTGTCAACATCAGCAGTATTTTCGGGATCACCGCGCACGCAACGGCCGGGGCCTATCCCGCCTCGAAATCCGGAGTGTTGGGACTGACGAGGACGGATGCGGTGGCGTACGCGACCGACGGGATCAGAGTCAACGCCATCTGTCCGGGCTTTATCAACACCCCGCTGGTGGAAAAGGCAAAAGAAGCGGGCGCAGACTACAACAAGCTTGTCAGCCTGATCCCGTTCAGACGAATGGGTACTGCTGAAGAGGTGGCTGAAGCCGCAGTGTGGCTGGCAAGTGAGCGAGCAAGTTATGTGAGCGGCGTCGAGCTGCCTGTGGATGGTGCTTGGGTCAGAGCGTGCAATACATGATTTTGAAGAGCCAAGTCAGTGTCAAGGGGGGTCTCGAGCCAACGAATCACTTGATCCTAGACTCGTAACCGGGGAACATTTTCGCCGAAATGTGGGTTCAGTCATTTCGGCGAAATGTGACAAGAGGCAGAGAGGGTCACGATTGTGGATACATTTTGATCCACCACCTTAGGCCGAGGCAAGCTGGTCCTTCAGCGAAGAGCGTTGTCGTGTTCCTTGGAAGTAAAGCGAGGGACGAGTGGGATGAGGTGCTCTAGCTAGCCTCGACAGAATGACCCATGGATAGACAAAATTACTGCAAAGGTGGAATTGATTAATATTTCGTATCTGGCTTGCGACTGACTGAATTAATCCTCGCAATTGTTTCCACCCCCAGAGACGCCTACGCATGCAGTGGCCAAGTACCAAGTAGCAGTTGTTCTAATTTTAAGTAGGTACCGAGTATGCTGCAAGCTGTCCGAGGGTCTAGAAAAGGCGAGTATACCGAGTAATGCTCCCTAAATCCTCCTCCCAAAACCCCCCAAGATCTGCTCTGTCCCCAGGTTTCCGTCTCTCTGCGTGCCCCATTAAATAAGAAGTGAGTGTGGGGTTCCCAGACATTAATTAGTAAAAAGTATGTAGTGGCAGAGTGGCCAACGCCCACGGGTCACCCCGGCTTTTCATCTCCCTCCAACAAGTGTCACTTGGAACCTCACTTTAGATATTTTGATAAGTTTACCAGGAGCCCGGGAGAGGGAGAACCATCCGTCCCCTGGCTCTGAATACCCATCTACTTCAAACAATGGAGCAAAGCTCGAGTCGTGCGTACCGCCGGCGAAAGCGCAAGTTGGCGTGCAAATACTGCAATTCTCGCCACATACGATGCAAGATGCCAGAGACAACAGAGACATCCGACCGGGCAGGACATGCCCGTCAATATCAATGCCAGGCTTGTTTGGATGCCAATAAAGAGTGCGATCTCGAAACGCTTGCAATTACAATGTATCCAGAGTTATTCCCTCCGCCTCAGCCGACACCACCGCGTGAAAGAGTCCGAGCCCGTCTGCCGCCCACACAGCCATCAGAGCACTACCATCATCAGCAGAGCACGCAGAACGGCGCTGGTCTCAATTTATCCGCAAGTGGCCAAGACGTGTCATATTCGCCTCGTTCCAAGAGCACCCCACCGTGCCCGCCGCAGGAAGGGTCGGAGATGATCCTCGTACGATTGATGGATACGCAGCAGGACAAGGATGAACTTGACCAGCCGACCAAAACGACCGACCGGGTCCTGTATTTTGGAGACGAATCGATCTGGTCTGATAGCCTCCGACGAGCTCGGAGCAGCAAATCCAAATCTCGATATCCTGCAAGCCCACAGCCCCTGGGCGCCCGATCATTGGTGGACAGTAACAACATCCATTACGCTGTGCCGCCCACGGTCAGAGACCAACCGCAAGATATCCCACAGGACGACCTCGACGTGCAGCAGGAGGAAATCAAGCTACTGCAGAAGAAAGGGGCCTTTTCTCTGCCACCTCCCGACATCCAGCGGAAACTCCTCGACGCGTTTTTCACCTGGTCGTATCCCTTACAGCCCATCCTCGACAAGGAGCAGTTTCTCGACGACTTCGAAAGGGGCCAAGCGCCCATCATCCTCGTCCAAGCGTTACTGTTCGCCGGCACCACGTGCTGCGACGAGAACACCATCGTACAATTCTGGCCGAGTCGCCGCGCCGCCCAATCGACCCTGTACAAGCGGGTCAGGGCGCTGTACGACGCGGACCACGAACAGAACCGCGTCACCATCGTCCAGGTCCTCTTCCTCATGTGTTTCTGGTGGGGGAGCCCCATGGACAAAAAGGACTTTAGCCACTGGTTGGCGGCGTCTATCCATCTGGCCCAAGTGACGGGCATGCATCGGTCGTATGATCATACACATCATCGTGAAAGAAAACCGAACTGTTGACTGACTTGCCATTTTTCTACCCTTCAGGACAAAGGACTCTCATCTCCCCATAAAGGACAGAAAGCTCTGGAAGCGCATTTGGTGGACTTTATACGTAAGTCATATCTTTGCTCGTGGAAACCTTGTCCACACACACGCGCGCACACACAGAGATGGTTCACTAAGTCATTTACTTGCGTTAGGTACGCGACCATTTCGATGCTGCGTCAGTAGGCCGGCCCATGATCATCCACGACGACGATTGTGACGTTGAGCCCTTGTGCCTGACTGATTTTGAATGCGACGAGAACGGAATGCCACCCCTGGGAGCTATGCATTGTATTGAGATGACGAAACTGGCTACTCTAAGTACGACTCCCCTCCCCAAAAGTCTCATGGAAAAGAGACACACACACACATAGAGAGAGAGAGAGAGAGAGAAAGAAAAGCTGATATGACATACAAAGTCGGCCGAGCGATTCGAGCCGTCCGATCCGGTCAAATACCCAGAGACCCTCCTTCTCCCACTGACGCCAAAGGAGCCATCGACGACGCTCTTTCAGCTTGGGAAAAGCAGCTGCCAGAGCAGTTACGATACCGCGAAGGGGAAGAGCGAAGCCCACAGGCCATGCTATTTGCAGCGATGCTGATGCTGGGCCTGCAGTATGTCATGTCATCACCATTGTCATCTTACCTCCTTTGCAGAAGGCTTTTTGCGGAGGGATAGGAAAATGTTGCTGACGAAACACACTGATCAGTTTCTGCCGGATTGTACTGCATCGAAAAGGGTTCTTGGACTCGAAACACAAGAACGAAACCAACTCGAGGGCCCTGGCGTCTGCTAATGCCGTGACTCGCATTGTCGAAGAACTACTCAGTGAGGGTCTCCTGCCGCGGGCACAAGTACATTTGTAAGCTGAAGCTCTCATGTCGTTGTTATTATTGTTGTTAGTATCTGGCTTGTGACAAGAACTAACATTGATGTTCTCTCTCTACCGGACGCAGAATCGCGGTCATTTTCGCCTCGTTCACCATCCATATCGTTTCGATGGAGCAAAGCCAGGGCGCACGCAGACGAGTCCTGCAACACAAATCCAAGCTGTGCCTCTTAGGTCTCGCAGAGTTTCGTGACTATTGGCCGTTTGTGGACTGGATGTATCGACTATTTAGCAGTCTGCTGCACTGGCTGGAGGTGGGAGACAGCAGCACCACTTCCTTGTCCTCCGAAGGCCACAATCAGGGACTATGGACAACCACCACTACCCAGCTTCGTCCGGAGAACATGAGTCTACAAGCCGCTGAACTGACGGACAGCACTACAGATATCACTACCACCCATGGTGGCGATAACAACACGGCCATGTCTCTCCCACTCTCCTATGAGCAAGATGCGAGTTCCATGGCCGATGCTCAGCCCCCCGATCATTCCGGCATGCTCCAGCAATTCATGTCCGGCATGTTGGCATCAGAAAACTTTCTCGACCCGTTTCTGCCACCGCTGGAAAATCTCGATTGGGATGATCCCAACATGGCAGGAAATCCCATGCTCTGGACTTCCACGCCGCTACCCACGGTGGAAAGAGGGTCTCTGTCCTGAGAATGTTTCCAGGAGACCCATCACATTTTGGCGGGTTGTGTACAGCTCATACCAGATTTGCGGAATCAATCACGATCCGATTTCCAGGGATGATCATTGAACGGCGGCATGAACTTGAGCCCTCCAACTGATATCTCGTAAAACTCAATATTGAATTTTCGAAGAGAGATGTAGGAGGTCCCAACAGCAACCCGCTCCATCTCTCTCAGGACTTACATAGGGTTGGAGGATGGAGCTGGTATAGTTCCTGTACAATCTTGAACACGTCCTCCGCCGACTGGCGTATAGTACGGGAGTATTGACTAAATTTGTCGGGATGCCAGCGCTTTCGTTCCCGTCTCAGCCATTGGCGCGAGTATTTGGGTGACTGCTGAAAAAATTCAGCAATGGCGTGGTGACAAGGCTGGACTTCATCTGCTTTGTCTTTGCATTTGGTACATGAAGCAATGGGCGGGAAAGGGAATTCTTGTAGGTTCGGTTTATCTGCTAGACACGTTTGAGTGTGGCGATACCACTTCTGAAAGGTCACAGAGGACTCTTTTGCGGGAGGCACGAATTGCTGGTCGATGTTGGTAGGCCGTGGTGGAGGAGCAGGAGCCCGACCGGCGGAGTCGGCGCAAGTGCCGTAATTCGAGTAGAGCGGTGTCCTGGAGCTTGCGGAACCCCTCGGGCTGGAGGACGCCGCTGGGAATGGATGAAAATGTCGTGGTTCCTCAAACAGTCGTCGCGGCGTGGGCTTGGGCCAAAGAGGCCTTCGTATTCGTTTTCTGCATTCTTTGGCGACCCAGAGAATGATCCTGATGGAGATCAAGAGAGTCCAAGGGACTATTATCACAGCAGCAACACTAATGGCCACAATTTTCAGAGCCTCCAGGATGAGGTCAAATAGATACGCCGCACCTGAGGCGTGCCAAAGCCCGGACAACAGTTTGCCGGCACCCTTGGCTAGCCACGACAGAGCTGCGAGCACCAGTCGTGCAAGGGTCCACCCAAACTGTTCGCATGCAGAACTGTCAGAGAGCACATCGACTGGAGGTGTCAACGCCGTGGGAGCCATTCTTTGGCAGAATCGGTATTGCTTCAAACACTATGGCGGCAAGGCTGTTTCAGTTTAAGAGGTTCAACTAGTGATCAACCGTGAACTCAAGAGTAGACTAAGACCTCGTCTAACCTCCCCTTCTGGCATTTTCACAAGCAGCATTCCATTGCCGCTCTAACATCGAGCTTCATATGCCCACTTATCCGTACAGCCTCAGTCCGCAGTTCAATAAATCAGCGAGGAGGTCAGCCATGACCGGTAAGGCGAGGAGTGATCGCTGCTACCGGCTCGGCGCGAGCCGGCGGCAGACAAGGGCGGCATCACGCTACTCTCCGATCGGGTTGTTTAGAGACAGATCGTGGTCGGACACTGTGTCACTGTCCTTTGGAGTTACACAAAGATGATTTTACCTATTATCCCTTCTCCGGCCGTCAAAACGCATGTCGAATGGACCTGACAACATTATATACCCCGATGGTTCTTTAGTGAACGAGCTGCGGTAGCCAAAAGCCGCCATAGCCTGGCAGTTGTCAGGCTGTCAACCATCGCCGTGCAATATGTTCTCCTATTCTTGCCATGGGCTGTCTCGACTCCTATATCCACGCATGGCTGGGCTGTTGCCATTTCGCAGCAAATATTCCACCATTGTGGACATGGAAAAAGGTAATGCTAGCTCGGAGACGTGTCGGAATCAAGAAAGCTGATGCATGAAAGACTGGAACACCAACCAAGATTTCTTCAACTTCTCGCGCGGCCGCTTTGTGTGTGACGAAGAATACAACATGTCAATACGGAGAGTATGCTTTGACATGAATCAACTCGCACGAGTTGCCACTGAGGCCATAACGGCCAATAAATGCATCAATGTCGAAAAATGCCCCGATGGTCTGTACAACAAGTCCTATCTCTTCACCATGGACGACGGCAGACAAGTCATTGGAAAAGTGCCAAATCTCAATGCCGGTGTGCCTCATTTTACCACTGCAAGTGAAGTTGCGACCATGGATTTCGTATGCGCGATCAACCCCCGTTATAGCAGTCGGTTGTTTGGCTGACACTTGCGAAGGTCCGCAACATCTTAGAAACACCAGCACCTCACGTTTACGCTTGGAACTCTAAAGCAGACAATCCAGTGGGTAGTGAATACATTATAATGGAAAAGATGCCAGGGGTTCAACTCTCGCAGGTCTGGGACCACATGAAACCCACGGACAAGGTCTTGGTGGTCATTCAACTTTTCCGCCTTCAGAAAAAGTGGCTGTCGACCCGTTTTACAAACATTGGTGGCCTCTATTATGCAGTTGATGTTGAAGCCGGCGCATCCAGTGCACCTCTGTTTACCGACAGCGCTGGAAAGGAGGTAAGAGACGACCGTTTCGCGATAGGGCCAACCAACGGTCGAGACTGGGTTGATGCAGCCAGATCCTCGTTGAAATGCGATCGAGGTCCTTGTAAGAAGGACAATCATCTTTGACAGTGTACCAGTCTAATTCTTTACAGGGACATCCATCTCGGACTACTACCAAGCCATCCTCCACCGCGAGATCAACGCTACAAAGAGTGCGGCACGGCTTCCTAAGCAAATGGTGATGCTCTGTGCGCCGACACTGTACGAGCCAACACGCGAAAAGAAACTGGCAGCTTTGGAACGGACTGCCAGCGTTGTGAGAAACCTGATTCCTTCTGACGCATCGATGTGTGCATCACACATATGGCACAACGACCTTCACGACGAAAATATCTTTGTGGATCCGGCAAATCCCACCAAAATCACTGGCATCATCGACTGGCAGTCGAGTCTCGCCGCGCCTCTATTCGAGAATACCATCGATCCTGGGTTCCTTAACTATGACGGACCCGGCATCGAAACCCTAGACAAGCCAGTGCTCCCCGAGAACTTCGACGATTTATCTGCCGCCGAAAAAAACGCCGCACTCGAACTTTCCTACAGCCAGGCTCTCCTGGTAGCTTACCGCAGGCTGATCCAGAAGAAAACGCCATTGAAACTGGCATCGGAATTCCAGGCCTCTACCGCTTACGACATTCTCAAACTTTCTCGCCGCATCTTTGAAGTCGGCGAGGCACACGTACTGGCTATTCTCACCACCCTGGAATCCGAGTGGGGCGACCTCCCTGCCGTGCGACAAGCGGGAGGGCCTAATTGCCCGCTCAACTTCTCGGAATCCGAGCTCGAGCAGATCGAGGAGGATGTAGAAGCCGCCGATGCTGGGATCCAAGCAATGGACACAATCAGAAAGCGTCTCGGACGTCTGTGGCCCGACAAAGGCGCCGTGCAGACTCAACAATACGATGAAACAAAGAGACTGCTCAGAGAGGTGAAACAAGAACTGCTGCACAGTCTCAAACTTGACGACGAAGACGCCCGGGTCTTTGAAGAACTGTGGCCTTTTGATGAATAGTGCTGACCCTCGCTCCCCATATCATCTCTCAGACATGACGGGGTTGGGCTTCCAGGCAAAGATCCAGATCTCGTCCTGCCTGTCCGCCAGAATTGGTTCAGCCAACCAAGCAGGCAAGTCGCGTGTGGCTGCACTCGTCCCGGTTGCACTCCAGAAGCTGTGAGGGAGCTACCAGCAAGACTAGGAGACCGCAGCGGTATTCTTCCATCACTCAGGCTCTAGAGGGAGCTCCTGATTGCAACTGTTTGCTCAAGGGAAGCAGTGAGTAAGTTCCAGGACCATCCTCGTTGGCGCTGCCTTGCACTCGGTCCGCAATGGAGGGAGGGTCGGGGAGGAGAGGGAGACGCCTTGTCGGCTGCTGAGAGATTTGTGCCTGTAGGCCGTGTACGAATAGAATGCCGTTCAATTTGGCACCCACCAACCCGCCACCCTGTTGGTTGGATTAGCTAAAGATTAGTTTTTCGCCGCTCCGCCCCTCGTGTCTCAAGAATCAAACTATTTTATCTACACCACATAATACACGTACATATACTCGAATTATATGTAGATACTCGCGGGTAGGCTGGGATTCTCTCTGTCTGGTATATAGGTCATATATCACCCCTGTGACAGTGGCAAGTGTTGATATGCCAGATCCTCCTTCCATCTATGTCTATTGTCTGGTCTCATCTGGTTTCTTCCGTTTTCTTCCCGTCGTGAGTGAGCCTCCACACCCCGTCGACAACTTACCACGGCCCTATAACTTCGAGTCCTTCGGCTGCTCCTTCGATTTCCTCGTAATGTTGCGGCTGGCATCCATGATCAGACTCGCGTGTGTGCTGCTCGCCACCAATTCTCCCGCTTCGTCCCAAACCTCAATGTTCAAATCGAATCGGCCGTTCCTGATCGTCTTGGCCAGGATTCGCACAAATAGCCACTCGACGCCTTCCTCTGGCAATAACTTTTTCACATCCAGATTCAAGCTGAGCGTCGGGTACCAGAATTTGGCACTCGGCTCGCCTGATTTCAGCAAGGCTTTGAGCTCGGCTTGACTGTGTTGGCCGATTGCGGCCTCCTCGACGACAGGATTCACGTATGACTCGACAATCTGTGGAAACATGTCGACCACGAACCCCAGAGCGTCGTTGGTCCAGCGACCTGTGATGTTTTTACTGGGATTTAGAGAAGGCGTCTTGGGCGCGAACCGCACCCACTGGTCCACGATGGCCCGAGGTTGACCGGACTGGCCTGGTTGTCGCCGGCGATGGGGCTGGACCAGGTAGATCTGAATGTTCTGCCCGGCACGGCGGAAGGCAGGAAACGGGTCGTTTGCGCGGAGCGTATAGTTTTCATCCCGGCCTTTGGTGCCCAAGAGCGCGAGGTTCGCAGGTAGAGCGGGCGGCCAGAGCTGATACTGCGTGTCGAAGCTCAGGCCTTGTTCGGTCGCAATATTGCTCATGGTTATGTACCCCTGCACCTCATCCTGCCATTGGCCGTTGTGTTCCTGCTTTTGCGCCAGGACAATGTGTAAGTTGCTGATGCGCGAGCCCAGCTTGACGTCT